AAGGACACAAGCGAAATGCATAGCGAGAGATTGAACCCTGGCCTTAATGTTGAGAAGTTGTAGTGTATCGGCGGTGCCAAACTGCTCTTAAAGATATGGTAATGTACGTATTCTTTTCAGTGTTCTTATCTGAGTTTGAGAATATTTATATCAACTTTAATTCTCCTCCAGGTGGGCGATACACAGGTGAACTGAAACTTCACGAATGTACTCACCTTATTGTGAGTACACCAAAAGGTAAGTGACTTGATAAGAGGGCAAGTACAGTAATATTCATGATATGTCTGAAATATTTAATAATTTGTATCAAGTTGTCTCACTTTAAGAATGCATGTTTCTATGGCACATCATGTTATATCAGATAAAATGCAAAATGGCCTATGTGAATGTTGAGGAACACATCAGATAAAATGCAAAATGACCTATGTGAATGTTGAGGAACACATTACCCTCTTCAGTAAAGAGTACAGGATTGTTTCTTGTTACGGCCAGTTCACCACAACCAGAAGTAAAATAAGACTTCTGACTTTCATCTCAGATAAACACTTTTGTGCAAAATCCCACTGGATATATATCTTTCATGGGTTATCCTCTTTGGTGTGTCTAGCCCCAAAAAAATAATTCCAATCCAAGTGATAGGCCCAATCATTGTTTGTGAGGTGATTACAGTTGAACTTGCCCAAGTCGAATCCAAAATGGAATTGAAAAATTGTGTGACTTCAAGATAAAATTTGACTTACAGATCGATTTAGCTTGTAAAATAAGATTTTATTATTATTATTATTATTATATGTAATATACTTATTATTCGAGTTAATTTAATTGTAATTTGTTTTAATGTTTTCTTGAAGGACAAAAGTATGATTTTGCTAGGAGGTGGAAAATACATTGTGTATCACTGAAGGTATGTATAACTGTAGTGCATTTAGACATATTTCATTTGGTTGATTTAATTGACTGTAATGTGGTGGCGACAGAGTGTCTACAGGTATCTTGGCACCCACACACCCCCCCCCCACTCTCAACCATGGCTATGATTAGATTCTTCCCCATGGTTTAACAACAGGAGATCTTATAGTTATTGTGTCTCCAAAACCACTTTTTAAAATTTTAATATTTGCCCATTTGTTTTGGGTTTTTTTTCATTAATTAATTGTGTTTATCTTGTTTTTTTTTCTGTGTGTGTTATTTTGTGTATAAATATTTTTTATATATTGAAAGTGTAATTTCTTGTATAAACAATTAATATTACCTTAAATGTTAGTCAGCATCATGATTACATGTGTATTGCAATCAATCTCAATGTCTCTTTTTATATATATTTGAATATTTTTATATTTGTGCAATATACTCAAATAAATAATTTTAAAAAATTAATAAATAAAATTTTAAGCTATATAAGCTGACTAAATTACCACTATTTCCTTGACTAGTACACCTCTCGAAAATGTCAGGAATTTTTGTTTCTTTGGGATTGACTTGTATTATTTTTAAGTTTGCACACATTGGCAATGCAGTGGAGGGGCCCAGGGAGTTAATTAAACAGATGGGAGAGTGCAACTGCGTGGGTCCAATGTACAAATTATTTTTTAAAATTTAAGCGCGTAGGACCAAGCTTGCAGAAACATTGAATCTGTATTTTTAGTACAATAGCTTGTTTAATCAAGGTAAGTAACTTATTCATAAGTAACAGCATCACTGTTGATTTCTTTAAATTGATTTCCAGTGGTTTAAGGAGAGTTTATCAAAGGGAGCTTGCCAAGATGAAAACCTATACAACGTTGAACCAAGCACAAGTGAAGATAAGCGGTCCACGTCCACTCCTAACAGGAAATCTCCAAACTCCCGGCTTAGCAGTGAGTAGAACTTATTTTTCCTAGTTTGCCTTTAAATAGAGACACCAGTTCTTTAATGTTACCTGCTATCCTCTGTAAATCATCCCTGCTCCATTGTATGTGGTAAGTATATTTAAGTATATCGCCACTGTCATTACCATTTTCTACTTATAAAAATTGTGACCCAACCTCACAAAAGGGCTGTAAACTCGTCCACAGGCCAAACTGAGTTTTTGTTATAATGGCATAGAACATATCATTTACTTTAAAATGACAGTCAAATGAACTCAATCGGGTGTCTGGAAGCAAAGTTATGACCGTTTGAATAATTGGCATCTTAGGAAATTTCTTAAATCAAGTTTTGAGAAAAATGCTTTTATATTTGGCAGGTTTCTATTCATTTTTCACTAGCTCATCCGAAAATGGCTAAATTTTACCTCTTACAGTTATAATTTAAAACTCAAACTTCAGGAATAGTAAGATTAAAAGTTATACTTTATTTATTACACAAAAACCCAATTCACACAAAATTCACGTTCTACGCCCTTTTCTGGCTATGAAGGCTTGTTTCTCAATACAGTGCGGTGCGAGTTTACGGCCATTTTGTGAGCTTGGATCACAATTGTACTTTTCTAATTGTTTATCACAGGTGTTAATTTGGAATTTTATTTCTTTTATATTTCTTTCTTATGTGTTGTACACCTTGCAGAGGTGGAGATCCATGGAAATCAAACTGCTAAGATTAGGTAGCACCGAAAGTTACACCTTGGCGGACCAAGTACTAATGTTTGTCAATGTGGCAGTCAGAATGTGTGCAATGCTGGTATGTTTCACAAAGTATTGCACATTTTCTGGCCTCTATATAACAAACCAGCTCTTCAGGTTTACAAGTATGGTCATTTATCATATGATGGCAAAATAAAAACCAAGTATATGATTGGCAGATATTTCATTTCTAGATTGGGTATAATAGACGCACCCATGATGATTTACTGTCATGTACCTACAGGTATTTTGTTAATTTATCATGTTGTTTTATTTCAGCTCGTATACCGGATGTGAGCTCAATAGCTTATTTCAATGAATCCAAGATAGATGACACTATGATGACAACCATGAACATAACAACTATGAACACGTCAATCAACAATATGACAACCATCAACATGGATATCAAAGGTCAAGATGTTCTTAGTGACCTTGACCTCTTCAAACCACCAGAGGATTTTCTGGATGCCTGCAAGGTTAGTATTGTTTTTTTATGTTCTGTCACCCCGAACAAGGCCAATGGCCAATTAAGGTAAGAGGTTAGGATAGTAAGAAAACAGTTGACATAAGATTTAAAATTGGCAAAATGACAACAATATAATAATATTATTATTATTTTAACTGGTGGTCATGTCTTAAAGTTTGTTTATAATTGATTATAATTTTGTTTATAAAATTGTGGTTAATATTTACTTAAGATAATTGTATCAAATTTTTCCCCATTGAATTATTCATTTTTGATATTATTTCTGTATAATAAATCTGTTTCTCTGCAGATCTATCTCAGTGGATTTTCTGGTAGTCGTTTGGAGAAAGTGCGGAAGATAATTAACATAGGTGGCGGTACACGGTTTAGCCAGTTAACAGAGAATGTCACGCATGTTATAGTTGAAACGGGTACAGAGGATCATATACAGCTTGTAATGTCATCTGATTTCAGGTTTGCAAATGTATAAATTTGTTGAATGATTGGTAAGGTCCCGCCCCTTAGATATTGTTGCTAAGATATTGTTGCTAAGGTTCACATTCCTGGCCCTGTTCTGATTGGTCAGTTGTTAAATTTTATTGACACTCTGGAAAGCTAGGTCTGTTGTGTTTACCTATATAGACGATTCCAAGAGAACTTTTTTGAATGTCGCCCTCTTTTGTCGACTGTGGTGACATTTTCAAAGTCGGAAGATGTCTAAATACACGTAATATACATAACTTTGATAAATTTTTAGTTTGAAGACTAACAGCATTATTCAGCTGCAAAACAAAAAGCTGGATTTCTCGATGGTACTGAGTTTATAACCACACTGCATTGACATTTTAGGAGTAGGCCTAGGTGTAGGGACTCCCCAGTAATGGTGTTGACAACAGAGGGCACCATTCTTGGATTAGTCCATACGTTGCAACAGTGCAAGCAATAATACATAAGGGTCTAGGCCTGGAATGTACAGCAATAACTGGGAAACTATCAGTATATAACAAAATTAAAATAATAATTTTTTTTTCATTAATAACTGATCTTTAAAATAACTTTCGTAATTTTCTTTTAACATTTTTAGTATGTACTGTAATAATTAATATCTAATTTTATGTAAAGTATCTAAGAGCAAGCTTGAATTTTTGAATAATGATAGGCCTATTTATGCTATTTATTGTATTGTATTTGAATGTTTTTTATGTTTATATTTATTAATGGGGCAGCTGACTGTCAATGAATTATAGTATAATTTTGCTTAAGCTACCCCTGACCAAAATTTGTTGTACTGTACCTTTTGTAAATGTGTATTGGTCGAATAAATAAATGACATGAAATGAAAGTAGCACAATAGATATCATACTACATTGTATGGGGGTTCAATATTTTAACAGGGGACTAAGTTTGTAGATTGAATTAATTTAAATGTTCAATTATCATGCAAGGTTGCAAAGTGACGTAGTGTCTAGACTGGAGGTGTGGCCCTCTCCACATAAAAAAAGTAAAAGTAGCGGGGGAATGATGTAATGATAAGCCCATTGGCTTTATCAGTACATATGTTTTAGGCTTGTTCTAACAGGCTGGATAACATGCACCTGTGGGCCGAAAATGGCCTGCAAGCCAGCAGTTGCGAAATGCTACTGTACGGCAGCAATATAAACTAAAATTGTAAGAAGTTAAGGAATTTGACGATTTTACTTACAATTTCTTTTTTTAGGCCTGAAGTAGTAACAGTAGAATGGTTAGTGGAATGCTACAAGCAGGGGTCAACGGTCTCAGAGCTACCTTATATCTGTCTGGATGTCCCAACAACCCATGTTGTCAGCCCACAGAAGCCAGTCAAAAAGTAAAGTAATTATTATTCTCTATATTGGTGTATATTCCAGCTCTCATTCAAAATACTTAATATCCATAATGCTAAATTGTTGGGGTTTTTTTTTCAGTGTACCTGATAAACAAAGCACAAAACAGAAAAAATGGCCAAAAGACAAAGAAGTGGAGGGTGACGATGAAGAGAGTGTTATGATGCAGTACCTTAGCACAGAAACACAAGGTGACATCATCATTGACAGATTTAAGACAACCTAAAACACTTATAAGCTAATTATTAGGAATATGTGAGGGGATTAAACCTTAATCCAGAAGTTGCCGCTAATCCCACCACCTGGCCTTGAAAGTTACACCCACCTTACAGCTAACTGTACAGCATTCCAACCCTCACATTAAAAGATGATGATAAAGATGTTAGGAGAGAGCAGCGTAAACACATTCTTATACAGAAACCAGTAAAATCCTTCCTAATCAAATTTGTAAAATCTAAATTTTGAATAATTATTATTGTAAAGTGAATTTTTTAACATTTAGTCTTTTTCTTTTGTGTTCTTGTAATCTTGCCAAATGTTTTTATGAATCAACAATTTCCCTGCATGAGCCTTGTTAATTCAGGTTGCTGTGTTTTCTTGTATAATTTTATATAGAAAGAAATATTGAAAAAATAAAATCGGAAAAATGGAAATGCATAGCAAAACATGTAGATTGAACTACAGTGCTCAGTAGCCATAAGGCCTAATACATTATAAGTTCAGGTACATTCTTTTCTGTACTTTCCTTAAACATTTTTATGCCAGGGGTATGTATGTACATTGTAAAAGAATGTTCTCCTTATTGTCATTACTCTTAATTCTAGATTTTTCTTCTCCTCCTTTTATATCTATGCTTTTTGTAAAGCAAAAGACAATTTTAGAAACCATGATTAGCTGTTGAATGAAAAATATCAAAATAGAAAGAGAAACAGACAGCAGAGTGAAAAATTATAATTAATAAAAAATATATTAAAGAAAACAAATATTTAATGCTGTCAAAAAAAGACTAAAGTAATGCTTTATAACTACTAGTTTTTTTTTTTTTGCAAATTGAAGCTGCTGGCTTTGGACATGAGGACAAAAAAATTATAGGATTTTAATCCAGGGCCTAAAATTGGATGGCAAGCATCTTCCATTTTTAAACTGTACTCCACCCATTTTCATCACTTCGTTTAATGGCATTCATTCCAAGAATTTGTCGAAGCAATTTTTGGCGCAGTGGGCTTGGATTCCCAACCTTGAGGTCGGGGTTTCAATCCCTTGCTGTGCATTTCGTTTGTGTCCTTGAGCAAGGCACTTTATATTGCTTCAGTCTACCTAGCTGTATCAATGGGTACCAGCAAATTGCTGGGAGTAACCTGCATTGGACCAGTGTCCCACCCTTGGGGAGTATTCGCTCTCATCTGCTTCACGCTATGGAAACTGGGGATAAGTTGAAGCCATATGAGCCCTAGTGGCTCGGCAAGTATTTACCTTATTATTCTAAGAATTTATATTCTAAATATTTTTTGATACTTGCAGATTTTAGCAGAATTGATACGCCAGAGCTTGATGTCACAACGAAACAAGAAATTGATGAACTTAATATACTGAATGAAATGGAGAAAGATGCGGAGAATGATGGTGAAGAGGAGGAGGATGACAATGATGCTACTCAAATTGATCAGGGTATTTGTGATTTATATTTCCTTATATATAAAGGAAAACTTTTTTAATTGATAAAATATGAATATATTTGTTTGTTTTCATAATTGTTTCCATATACTTTTTATTAGTAAATTCCCATTATTGATAATAAAATTGAAAGAACTAAATTAATTGCCAATTAGTGTGAACTCTACCTTGCAGCCATCTGCTCAGCTCTCTTATGATGCACAAAATTTAAATATATTTTTTAGAAATTGTTGCAGAAGATGAAGACTATAAAGGAATCTTTTTTGGAAAAAAGTTTTCACTTATTGGCTTTCTTGAAGACCAAGCAGAGGTGTTTGAAGAAATGGTAACTTCCGAAGGAGGTAAGGCTTTCCACTCACTCTGCCTCAATTGGAAAAAAAATTGTTGAACATTAAAGTTTTAATTTTTATTTTTATTTTTTTTTTTCTTTAACCTGGATACCATGATCATTGCAAAAGCATTATTATCCTCCAGGGCCCAGCAACACATACATTACATGTACAACCAAATGACAAAACTTTCAGAGAAAAGTACAAAGACAATCAATAAAAGGCAGTGGTAGATTCAAAGACAGAGTGGGGTGGGGCAGCTGGCCTGAGCCACTCCTAATTTTGTCAAAATTATTTTTTTTTTAAATGGAGTGAAAAAGAAAATTATATTCAAATTTAAGTCTGAGCTTCCCATTTCTGGCCATAATCGTAAATGTTCATTCTTCCACCAAAACCATAATGGGGCTCTGGTGGTCCAGACCCTATCTGTGAAAATCCCTCCCTAGGCCCCCTATATTTTGAATTTCTGGATCTGCCACTAAAAGGCTATGAAATTTTAAATGTTTAAAATATATATTCAACAACAGTTATACTTTAAATGAAAAGAATTATCTTACCATTACAATAAATAATAATAATAATAATAATATTACCAATTTATCATAGGTAGTGTGGTAGTAAATATTTTAAAGCATTTTTTATCATCTTTGTCAAATCATTGAATGTGTACAAACTAATAGTACTACAATATTTGATTGGTACACCCAAGAATTATTAATAGCAATGGCAAAAGCATTGTGGTACCCACTGCTGCTTGCACTAGCCAATTAGTGCAAGCCTGGTGGTCTAGTGGTTATGAAACCAGGCTAGTTTTATGGGGGTCATAGGTTCGATTTCCACCTGAATCATTTGCGGATTTGTTTTTCAGGAAATATAACACATCAAGTGGGGCAAAACATCACTCCTATAATGGCAACCTCCCAATAGATATTAAATGTTTATTGTTTATTTATCCATTTCTTACCTACTGTAGATGCACATATAATATTATCAACACCCTACAAAGAAATGAGGGCAAGCATGTAGCTTGCATCAGCTTGCTCATAATGTAGCCCTATGAATGTTCAATTTTCATAGGTTCATAGAAAGGAGCAATAAGAGTTAGTTAACTTATCCAAGCAAATATCCCACACACACAGTTGTGAATTTTTGACATCCTGTATGTTTGTTAAAATTTAAACATGCTTAGGAGCTGTTCTGTGATTAATAGCCCTATTTTTTTCTACCTAATCTTTGCTGAATGCTGTCATATATAGCACAATTTAATATGAAACACACTTATGTAAATTGCCACTTAATCCTCTCTTAATCTTTTTGAAATTTATAGGTGTTGTGATAGCAACCAGTGATAGTCCAGAGGCGGATTATCAAATTGTGCCCATCACAGGGAATTTGGCCCATAACACAGTACGCAACGTGGCTACCAACTGCTGGCTACAGCAGTGTGTTGAGTCTCACGAGTTGCACGATTTGTCAAGCAATCCACTGTTCCTACCAGTCATGCTGGATTTGAGCAAGACTCCTTTAAAGGGATGTGTTATATCTATCAGGTAGATTACTAATTATTATTTTGAAAATATTAAAGATTAATGGTCCAGCCAAAATATTGGTGGGAAAATCTGTAAAAAGTGAATTTTGTATAGCTCATTTAAATTTACCAAATAAGTTAATGACTTGCAACAAGAACAGATTGAAAAAAAATAGTTTTCAATTATTTAAAGGTCTATGCAAAAGAATAAAGGAAATGTATTATTTAACTGCCCATTAATTGATGGGGATATGTTGTTCTCATTCAAATTTTGAAGTAAGTTAATTACTTTTTTTATATCTGTAATTTTATATTATTAATTTTAAAAACTTAATTTCACAATTCAGTTTCTGAGCTGCAATGAATTATTTTATGTATATATTTGATTTTAATGTGAATAAAGTTACCAAGATGATGATAATAATAATAATAATAATAATAATAATAATAATAATAATAATAATAATAATAAATAGTATACAAATTAGGCAGTTCAAATATGGAATATTATTATTATTTCTGGTGTTCATTCTAAAAACAACATTTAATTTTTTTTAAATATGGCAGCACTAAGATGCATCTGCATATCAAGCAGAATTACTTTTCATGATAACATATCAAAAAGGCCAAAAAGAAAAAAATTCAATCCTTCAAACTCAAACCAAACATAAATTAAAGGAAGTATGAAGTATGCTGCCCAAAGTTTGTAATCAATAATTAACCTCACCAGGTGTGGTAAAGACTGCTCAGGGGTTTAGCCAGAAAAACAAATTGGCCGTCTAAAATGGAAGAGGAAGAATTTGTCCCGTAGCGATAGCCGAGGGACATAGCCCCATTGGGTGATGGGTTTAGGAGGAAGTGCCCTTCTCCCTACGTAAGAAAAAAATAGAAAATTATGACCTTTAGAGTGAATTTAAAATTGTTTATATGTTGGTATTTTGTCTTCAAAGGAATAGTGTTGAATTAGCTATCACAAAGATATTTGAATTATAGACATAGACTGCCCACAGCTAAGGTTGTTTACTCACATTATTTTTCTAGGCTATGCAAATGCATCTTCATTTTTAGTGCTAGTCTAGTGTAAATTCTACTCTAGCTCCACCGAATCAAGAGATGTATAGGCCTAGGCCAACTGTATTTTGTTGACTGCAAATGCATCTTCATCTTTAGTGCTAGTCCAGTGTAAATTCTACTCTAGCTCCACCGAATCGAGAGATGTATAGGCCTAGGCCTACTGTATTTTGTTGACTGTTGAAATTTAACTTGTGATGTTAATAACAAATCTGCTTTACAATATTTTATGAATTATTATAACCAGGAAGTTATGAACAAGAACAATATCTCCGTCAACCGAATCTCAAGCACTGTATTTGCAGAGCGGGATTTTTAAAAAAACAAACATCCATAATAAAAGATTTTAAATAATTTTTAATTAGTTTGAATATTATAACTAGTATATAAGTTAAGGTGAATGTGCTTGCTGTTGGATGTGGAGGAAATAAATTATTGTTTTTACAGTATTATTATTATTATTATTGTTATTATTATTATTATTTAAAAAATCTTTATGTAATATGATGAATGAATATTATTTAACTACAGTTACAATGATTATTATTTTTAGTCAGTACCAAGGTGTAGAGCGTGATTGTATCCTGCACTTAGTTGAACTGATGGGAGCCACCTGCCAGGAGTACTTAGTACGCAAGTCTAAGAACAATCTGGAAGCAAATACTCACTTGCTTCTTAGGGATCCGGAAGGATCAAAGTATGATGCTGCCATAAAATGGAAGATTCCAACGGTTGGGAAAAGGTAAGAATATATACATATTTCTATTTGTTAAAGCAAAAGTTAATTATTTCAATATCAATTTGTTTCATAGTAGAATTATAGTGCATATTTAAATTTTACTTCCTAAGAAAAAAACAACTGAGATAATATTGGTGAGGTTAATATTTTGAAAGCATATGATATAGTGTATGCTTATTTGCATAACATAAAAGAAGTAAATATAGCATAAAGATAAAAAAAAAATTATTTGACAGGAGTAATAAATGAATTATGGTAATGATGACAATAACAATAATGAAATTTAATTTACAAAGGAATTACTCCGAGCCCTTGAACGAGTTTTGCAAGGTCCTTGACACGAGTTCCAATATCGTCAATAGGAGTTCCACACCTTGCGTTAGCTCCACCATGGTTTGACCAAATTTTAAGAATGGACATTCCTAGATGCCTGGAAATGGCACTCTTTCTACTTTGAAAAATGCTGTTTCATGGCAGTTTTTTCAATTTAACAATTGCCTTCTTCCCCGATAAGGCTCTGAAGTTTCCTGACAGGGGTTCAAGGGTTCTGGTGCTGCCACTGGAATTGTAACAATTGACTTCTTTATTTCCAGGTGGCTCCTTGAATGTGCCAAGCAAGGTAAGCATGTAGCAGAGGAAAAGTACTTAGTTGATAACCAAGGACATGATAGTACATTGCTTTCAAACAGTGAAACTCATGATAACCATGAAATAGAGGAAGTAAAGACAGTAGATAATATACCTCAGAAAGAGGCAGAGGAAGAGGAAGATGAGAGAGTTGAAATTCAAGCTGCAGATGAAAAGAATGATCAGAAGGTGGAGGCGGAGGAGCAGCAGCAGGATGGTGGAGTAATTATACAGAATGTTAATAAAATTGAAAGTGATTTTGCAGATGAACAAATTGACACAAATATACCAGAAACATTAAAAAGTCCTGCAGTTGTGACTATACCCACAGAAGAAATATTTGAACAGGATAGCAAAGAGGCATATATTTCAGATTCTAAACAAACTATTTCAAAAGGCATTTCAGAAAATATATATGATGATGTACAGTTTTCCAAGCCCAGGCCTGTTAGCCGAAGACAATCTGAACTGCAGAGGACCAGTACCACATCCGAGGACACGCCTTCAAAGTTTCTTGCCCCTGGCTATAGGCCTAAATTTGATATTGCTGCAGCTCTGGCTTCTCTAGAAACTCCTCCGAGCCAAAAGAAAAGCAGACATGTAAGGAAGTCTAGTGTGGTAAGTCATCATCTTCCTCGCACATAAATTTTTTTTTTTCCTATTTTTTTTTCAATAAAAGTTTCACAACAGATACTTGAACTGATTGTGCTATGGTCGTGAATGTCTGGTTCTTTCATTTTTTAATGTGTGGTTGTGTGTGTGTATACCCAGAAATAACTGTTCATGTATATTGCACATTTAACTTGAAGCGTTCAGTGCAGCGGAGAACGATTTGGTTTCAATTTCTCGCTGTGTATTTCACTTGTGTCTTTAAGCAAGGCACTTTATCTACTAACTGCTTCTCTCCACCCAGGAGTCTAAATGGGTATCTGGTGGGGTTAACCTGTTCCTGCGCTGATTACCAGCAGCAACACTTAAAGCATGTGCACCCAATGACCAGAGAAAAGAACTGTGCTTTATAATCTCAGGGAAGAGGTGCATTATAAATTCCCGTACCAGTACCTGAATTATTATGTATCACTTATCTAAATTATTATAAATGCCCATACCAGTATCAGTTGAAGAAATTTCAACTAAACTAAAACAAATATCAAGTTTTTTCTTTTTCTAGATTAGCTGGGGATAACATGGTAATGAGTGCAATCGTGTGATAATAATTTTAATTTCTTATGTTTGTGTATTTATTTTGGCTGACAAGATAATGTTTAAAAAATAATATAACAAAGGAATTTTTTAAAATAATATTTTTGTCATCAGTCCTTAGATGACCTCATGAGGACAAATTTAAAGCAAGCTATCAAGAACTCTGAAGTGAAATCCTCAGATGATAACGTATTTGAAGAGGTGACGTATCGATTATTTCCTGTATTAAACAATCTTGTGATTACTAAATTAACGATATACTATCTTATAAGCTAAAAAAAATTAGATAAAATTTTTCCCATCAATTAAACATACCAATAGCAGTAAATATTAATGCTTATGCTTTTGCATAGACCCCCCCCCCCCCACCCTTAGACCCCCCCCCCCCCAATATATTGAGTGGAGTTGAATAACTTGGTTAAAGCTATTTTCACATCAAGCTTGAATCCGGTCCAGAGCCCAGGAAAAATAATCGTGCGTTGTTACGTTTTTTGAACATTGCATTCACATTGTGCACAGATAATGTCTAGAGAAGTCATTCGTTCTCGTTGCTGATTGGTCTTACAAAAAAACATACAATTTCACAATACAAATGTGTCTCAGATCCATCTCTTTGGATCCAGAGGCCTGATTTGAAGCCATATTAATTTAATGGGAACGGTCCTATTTACCACTGAACCAACTTTTCCCAATTTTTTGTGCGGGCACCGGACCGATCCAGGCTCTTGTGTGAAGCTGCCGTTGATAGCATGTAGCGATTTTATGGAAACCAAGCCTAAGATGCTTGCCTTCCAATCCCAGGATCCTGGGTTCAATTCATGTCATGGAACAGGATTTGTTTCTTGCAACCAAAAACAACTCCACTCCCTAAGCCTCATAATGAGACATAGTTTATGTAGAGCATCTTGTGTTTATGTTTGCCTTGTAAAGGGATATGCCACTTAGAAAAGTGATTAATGTTTTTGTAATATTTTAATCGTTCTACCTATTGTTGCAGTCACAAAATTCCCAGGCTTCATTAAAAGGTGTAATTATCTGTGTAAGTATGAAACTGAATAAGAAGCTGACGGTCTATAACAAGATAGCAACGGAGCTTGGCGCCGATTTTAGATGGACATATGACCCAACCTGTACTCACTTTATATATCAAGTGAGTGTATTGATAAGGCCTATAAAAACTGTAAGATGCCCAAGCCTTAGACTAAGGTGCCTATATTTAAAAAAAAAAACTATTCCTAACCAAATTTTGGTCCTTGATTTTTTAAGTGTTACTGTAGCTGAGGCAACAAGGGTGGCAACATGATTTGCTTAATGGGGGTCCGATGTCCCCAACTAGACCAAACTGGGCGTGGTTGGCCGTCATTCAAAATCTTTGCCCATGAAAACTATGACAGTTTAGTGTTTTCAAATTCTTATTTAATTGATTTTACTGTCTACTAATGCAGTATGTTAAATATACATTTACTTTTGGATGCCCTGAAATGGCACTCCCAAAAATGCTTTTTAAAAGCAGTGTTCCTTGAAGAAATGATTGGCTTGTTTTCCGATGGGAACCCAGGGATTTTCCAGTAGGGGTCCTGTGCCCTGTGCCATCCGGACCCCTACTGATGCTGCCACTGTTTAGAATCACAACTAATTATGATAAAATGAATTGAAAATATGTGATTTCATCATCATTATTTAGGGAAGAGCCAAAGACAGCAGTAAAGAACTGAAGTTAGCCAAAGAGCAGAACAAGCACGTTGTGTCTCCGCATTGGCTCTTTGCTGTAAGTTAAATCTCACAATCTTAAAAAGTATGATAGAACAAAATATGCTTTGAAGCTCTCTTATGAATTTAAATAATTAAGATGATTCCAACTACAGTATGATCTAATGATTTTTGTATTTTCTTATCATTTGACAAACATCAGAAAATCTCACATGTATTTTCACAAATGCATTCATTTTCATATGTTCTCATATCTTATAATTTTGCATAGATTCTTGTACTCAATCCACTACAATCAATCAATCTATCTATCTACATTCTTTTAGATTGCAAAATTTTTATAATTCTCATAGATTTTCACTATCTAAATTATCACAAATTTTCTATTTTTTCCTCACTGAAAGCTCTCTTAGAATCTGACAAACTAAATTGAATAAAGTAATTATAAACTATAAAAATCATAATCATTTATTACCCTTTATTTTATTAGTGCCAAGAGGAAAATGCATATCTGGAACCATCTCTATATCCGCATACTTACAACCCAAAGTTGAGTTTGGTAAGATGGCTTACAATTTTAAATAAATGTACAAACTAAATTTGAAATCATTCCTGATTTTGGTGTGTTTTCATGCAATTTAATTAAAACAGTAAAGGTTGTGTTCACAATATTATTTTATGGTGCTAATAATCAATGAATAAATGGATTTATAAGGCACATAATACAACTGTCTCTATGCTTTCTATTGGATGCAAATGAGGGTGCATAATTGTACTACTAAAAAAAGTAAACCAAAATGCTTAAGGATCAAAATTTATCCAAAGGGTTCTACTGTAATTGTGTTTTAAACACCACCAACTGCAAATATTGATGATTTCGTATAAAAAGAAAATTTTATTTTTGGCAAATTAGCGCACCCGCTGCCACAAAAAAGTGGAAATTTAAAAAAAAAATAAAAAGTTTTTCTTTATTTTTATTACACCCTCCGCTACCTTGAAATTCCTAAGATAAGATATGTATATTTCTTTCTAATTATATAAATTTGAAGCATTCAACCATCCTATTTTACATTTACAAATAAAATTTTATTTTTATTTCCTCCTCCGTCTGGATGTTTTTGGCAAAACTATTTACTAAATAGGAAAACAAACTTTTATATTTATATTTTTATTCTGCCCTCCTACGATAATGTTTAAAAAAAATAAGTATGCGAAACAAGGGATAAAAAAAAAAGTCTTATTTATGATGTTCACTAGGCTTCTCGCATAGCTTGCATTATCCATTTAACCAATTAGAATATTCCTGCTAAAATTGCTTAATCAATTAGCCAATCAAATGGTTCTATTTCATTTTTTTGTCTACTTAAGCATGTATGAGCTCAATTAACAATTGCATTGTTCTATATTCTGACTCCGCCTTTGAGCATGCCAGTTTAGTTCCACCTTTACAATGTAATTTTATACAGAAATATAACGTTACATCACATCAGTAAATTCTCTTCAGCTAGCCCAGACCCCATTAAATTTTTGGAAGATGAATAACAGAATGGCGAAAAGTAAATTGCATTCAAATTTAATGATGTGTTTGTCTTTAGCAAAAAAAAAAAAAAAAATTGTTTAATTGAAATTTTTGATAAGTATGCTGTACTGTACAATTGAAAAAATTTAATGAAAAAAAAATCTCCCTGTCAATTTACAGACATATAATTAATAATACCTTTTCTGTATTCTTTTGCATAGAAATTGCTGGTGGTAATAATTTTAAGGATTTTTGTAGTAAAATCTCTGCAAATTATTATTGGTTTCTTTTTTCCATCAATAAGGTATTCTACACTTTCATTGATTCTTTTTTTTTTCTATCTCCAATTTCCCCATTTTTCTGTGGTCTCAAATTCACAAATGAAATTATTTTTATTATTCTAATTAGAAAAAAAACTGCTAAATAACATGGAAATCCTGGGTCCGAAAGTGGTCTTTAATTGGAGGGAGACCTATTTGTTGGTTCAATATTAAAACTACCTTCCAATTACAGGATACAACTGGAATTGAGTATGATTTTGTTTGCAAGTCACTCCCTATGAACCTATGCTGTTAATTGCTTATTACCTTTGTTTTTGGTGCTTCATACACCAAGCTGATCATTGCCACACCCATCTTTTGTTTTTAACTAGATGCTTTCCATATTGTTTATTCCAATTAACAACATCACTGTCCATTCCCATTGTTAATATAATATTCAAGTTAATACAGGTAGGTTATTCCTACCAATATTTATGACTGTATATATTCTATACTCTGGTGTCTGTATCACTAGTCACACATTCCTAATAGGAGGCTTGCTTTGACTCGCATTCACCACTAGTGTTGGTCAGTTAGTACCTCTTCTACTTCTTATTTTCGCATTGGATAAATTTTGACCGCAACAAGAGTTATTCTTGGTGAAATATTTATTGCTTATTAGATCAGGTTTTAATGTGTGGTATATTTTAAGAGGTCTTGAAAGCAGCTTTGCTCAGTCGGCTAAACTGGTGGTAGCCACTGGGTATGCGCCGAACCGTGGAGATCTCTAGGTCCCCAGTTTATTTCCCATCGCTGCTTTACTTGTGTTTCAGCTGGAGGGCTGAAATGCAAGTTATGATGACGCACTGTCTGTCAGTTGAGACATTTAAGCCGTTGATCCCGTGTGCATTATGGCCTATGTGCATGTTAAAGAACGCAGTACACTATTCAGAAAAGAGTAGGGGATTGTCTCCTTGTGTACTGCCCAATCACCACCAGACAGTTGCAGAATCTTCAATAAGATGAAGGTGGCAACTTTATAAAAGAAGTAGTAGTCTTAAAATTCATAGAGTATCCAGATTAATGTTTTGAGCATACATGGTCTAATCTTGTATTATTGAGCATGGTGTTAGCACACTCATGAAGATTTTACCAAATCATGTTGTTTGCATTGGACTTTTCTGCTCGGGACTATCTGCCTTATTCTGGATGGGAGCAACATTTGCGCACCCAGTTAAAGTTACCGCGCAGATTAGGTAATTTTACCAAGGAGAGTGTTATGCAGGCTATTCACACTGTATTTTTTGAGTCAAGCTTGACCAGGTACATGGTCCTGCCAATACTCTAATTTACTGTATAGTCTATAAAGTGTTTTTATTTCATACATCTACCAGATTAACATGATTCTATCTATTATTATATTCTGTAGACTGTATCCAAGACACCAGTACGCTCAACGAGACGATCAGCACGCAAGATAATTGCATCTCCACCAGCATCCATTAACACAAAATATACTTCTGTTGCACCAGCTGTCGTTAACACAAAGTCATCTGTGGCTGCTTTACCAGCAGTCGTTGACACAAAACCTACTATTGCTACCGCTCCAGTACCTGTTGACACAAGAACTATTGCTGCTACACCAGCAGCCAGAGCTGCAGCAACCAATAAACAGCCTGACGACGAAGTGGCGTCATCTGCTTCAAAGGTAGAACATTCTGTAGCAGGCCAAGAATCAACCATTATGAAAGATACAGTAACGGAAGAAGAACTGATGATGTTCGATGCAATGGAGAAACAGGAAGAGCAAAATCAGCAACAAAATGAAGAAAGCGTTGACAGAACAGAAGAGGAAAAAGAATTGGAGAAAGAAGGATCATTAGAAGAGAGGGAAGACTTCCAAAAACAAATGGAACAGCTGATGACATCAGCGATGTAAGTTTATTCTCTAGTTTCCCGTAAAGCTGCATCGGCTGAAACTTAAAGTCAGGTTCCAGAGAAAAAACATTTTTTGATAATTGTACAACTGAATATTTAAAAACTGGTGGGGGGGGGGGAAGAGGTGAAAAAAGGCTGATTATGCCCCCTTTTTCACCAATTTTTAAATACACAGAAAATCTGTATCTCATTAACTGTTCATCACACACCATTTTTGTGTCTTAGAACAATGAGTTGTACAACATATCAAATTGTGTTTCCCTATGCATTTTAAGTACATAAAATAAATAAATTAAAAAAATTATATAGATTTACATAGATTCAATTGGGCTAGAGCTAATACAGTACTGAGGTGGTTTGGTACAGTAAAAATTATTTGGTTTCCCAACCTTGAGGTCAGGGTTTGTATCCTTCGCTTGTGTCCTTGAGCAATTAGCACTTTATCTACGTTGCTTCAGTCTACCCAGCTGTATCAACGGCTACCAGCAAATTTCTGGGAGTAACCTTTTGTGGCCTAGCATCCCACCCAGTGTAAGCATTACACTCTCAGCTGCCTCATACTTCTTGAAACTTGGGATAGGCTCCAGCTCATATGAGTCCTGTGACTCAGCAAGGATTTACTACTACTGAAGCAGATGGCATTCAAAATTGATTTTTGCTTGTATAAATCAGATTAACATTTCACGGAATTGACGTATTGTATTTTTGCTTTAGGCCAAGCAAGGGTGGGAAGCGTCGAAGTAGAAGATTAAATAGTAATACTTCGGCGACTAACATGAATACCTCAGCTGGATCTGTTTCTGAGGAGAGAGTAAACAGCAGTGGGTCGTCACACCGAGCAAGGTCAAAGATGTCAATTATTGCAGAGGATCCTGAAGCAAAATCGAACAAAGGTACATCCAATAATTCCTTTATACAATTTATTTATTTATTATTAGAATGGTAAACTATTAAAGACAATTATATTTTTACATTAGTTGTTTTACACTGCATTATACTGAAGTCTCAATGAGCCTAATAAGAAAAGGTATGGATGGTGATGAAAGAAATACCCTATACAACTCCTATTGTAAACAATACAATGATGAAATCCAGTGTAAAAAATGTTTGACTGAGCATGATGGCATCACATCATGACCATATGTGGCAAAGACAAGCCAAACCAGTCACTCGTCGCAAAAATCGATTATGAGTTATTAATGTGTTGAAGAGTAAAGTAAGTGCTATAAAATGGTAAAAATCATTCAATCCGAAATTCCCTCATCGAAGTTCAAAGTTGAAAGTAATTTTGAAATTTGATTTCCTCGGATACACAAAAGAGACAAAACACACAATCAAGAAAGACATAAGAAATAGATCAATTACAATGAGCAAAATTACACAGAGTGTCTTATGAAGTTAAAAGGATTTAAACATACAGCTGGTTAAAGAACAATATATCAGAAATCAGCTTTCGAAGTTTGTGATTTTGAGCATTTCTCATTCAGAAACTATCATCAAATGCCTAAAATGTTTTGTTTTAATACTGAAAATGGGGAAAATAACAGCATATCATGATGTATAAATATATAAAGGTTAGTTTAGTGCAGTAATATAGGTTTTTGAAAATTTGACATTCCAGCATATTTTAGCCATTTGAAACACACACAATTTGAAATTTGCAGTGGCTTGTCTTTGCCACATATCGAGGCATTTCATGATATAGTGTCATACAACTGTATTTGCAACTAGTGACTGGTTTGGCTTGTCTTTGCCACATATCGAGGCATATCATGATATATTGTCATACAACTGCATTTGCAACTAGTGACTGGTTTGGCTTGTCTTTGCCACATATTGAGGCATATCATTATATATGGTCGTACAACTGTATTTTATCAAAGAAACTTTAATAATCTTGACAAAGCTTGAGACTTTGCTTGCTATCGCTATGATCTACCTTAAAATGCCACGCTATACCAGCTAAGATTCTCTTTGTGGGAATACTCTCAAGTCACAATACAAGATAGAAAGAGTAAATTGAAAACTTGAATGGTAAAATTACCTTGACAGTTTCACTGTTCTTTACACGAACAGCTTCTTACACACACAAAAAAATAATACAAGATATTTTTCTCTTTTTTTTTCTGATTTCACCACAACTTTTGAAAAAATGAAGTATTATTGTATCTTTTCTTTTTTGGGAATACAGCTGAGGTTCCAATCGAAGCGTCACAGAATATTCAAATTACGTGGGATGATCCAGCCGGACGCGAGGTGCGTAAGGAAATAATGGAACAGCTTCAGCGGTCAAGCAGTCCAACGCAACAACAGCAGATGTCTTTTGAGACTGAGGACTTGAAGAATGTAAGAATTATGTTTCATAAATCTGTAGGTTTTCACTTACTAAATCTGTAAATTTTTTTTTTTTTTTTTTTTTTTTTTTTTTCTCTATAGGAACAATTCACTTACACCATGCGCTTTTGGATTAGAGTGAAGTGAGTGAATGAATGAAGGAATGAATAGTATGGATGAATAAATAAATAGATAGTAATGGTATGAATGAATAAATGAACAAATGAGTACTGTATGTTGTGAAGAAGATAAATATATGCGTTGGATCATCACTTCAAAATGGAATCTAATTTTTGTTTGGTTAGTTAATAATAATAATAATGGTCGACTTATAGAGCGCATATCATAGAGACCTCTATGCGCTTAACATAAATAAGAATACAAATAGAATGATACTTAACTAATCCTACTCCTTAAACTAAGCATGGTTTGGCCGTTGGCTCCGAGGAGTTTCCTACTTCTTGGCTTGAACCAGCACCATGAGTGCATTTTGCTGTGTTGTTGTTATTGTGTTGTTATTTTATTTACTATCATTATTTTTGCTATTATTAAAATCCTTCATGTAACACTTCCTTTGAAGGAATCTAACAACACTACTGTCAGAGAACTAATGGAAGCTCAAGAGTTGTTGACGAAAGAAGTGGAGAATGAGGACCGGATGTTGGAGGAACAAGCCTTCAAAGCTCCTCCCATCAGACTACCCCCTGCAAGACCAGCTGTGGCCCCAGCCCCACTCACAGAAAAGCAAGAGAAAGAGATTGAGGTTAGACAAGACTTTTTCATACCTTATTCAGTGAACTTATTTTCTTAAAGACCTCCAGAAGAGACATAAAGATATTTTTTTATTAAATAATATGGTTAAAGTTTATTCATAAACAGTTAGTGGGATTGATAAATATTCTAAATTTATATAATTAAGTGAAAAAGATAGCTATCTCATTTTGGAGATTTCAAGCCAACGGCAGGCATTATAAGACAAATTGAAAAGTTGATTGTTTTTTCTGAAATTTCTATTTTATTTTAGTAGTGGTGCAACTTACTGGTTAAAAAAAAAAATTGATCAATTTGAAATCATTGACAGATTGCAGGTTTGCTAAAAAATAGTCTCACTTTATCTGCTAGTCTTATTTTGTATAAATTATTTTATTTTATTATACAATTATTTAATGCTCTGTCCACACTATGAAATTTTCTTTGATAGTGTTGTATGCCCATATCATCAGCCTTGTTCTCACTAGAGCCCTAGTATTTGGATCAGGAGCTAACCGTTAGCACCTGCGTGAGAAGGCCCAATCGGTTAGCACTAACCGTTAGCAGAATCCGGATACCGCGATCGGTTAGCAAGTGAGCACGTTTTTATCATCAACCAATTACATGTACGCGTTTACAATTTCCAGTTTCTTATTGGTCAGTGATTCGATCATCATATTTTTGGTATCCGGGTCAAGATTTTCTCGTATGGACGCACAGCAGCTAACAGTTAGCAGGATCCGGATCCTGCTGACCGTTAGCAGTCGTGTGAGAACATAGCCTTTATGAATATGTTTATGTATCTCACATTTTTTTTGTAAAATTTAATTGTCTGGACAAAGCTTACCACTGTCTTTGTTGAACTGGAAGTAAAATAACAAGACAAATTACACTTAGTGGTGGCGCCAGAAACAAATGCCCCACAGGGGCCCCCCCCCCCCTCACTGGTGCCACCACAAGTTGCGATGTTTCGGAACAAAAGTGTGCAATTGTCAGAGGTAAAATCTGTATTTCTTTAATCGTTCACAAGTTTTTTGTCAAAATGCTTTTTGTGTTTTAGAAGTTTCAGGTACAACATATCAAAATATTTTTTCCTACAAAGCTTTGCTTTAAAAGATATATTTTTCCTTGTTTTGTTGCAAAAATGTGTCCCATAGGGGTATGGTTCCCCTCCCCCTTAATACGGGGTGTCCTAAAGGAGTGCATTCTGCTCTATGTACGTAATTAATTTGCTTTCAATTGACAATAATAATTATTGAAATTTTATGTCTAATCATTCGTTATATCATGCAGCAGGAAAGACCGCCACCAATATTTATGCTGTCGTTCATGACACCACAAGAAAAGATGGACTATGCTGCCCTCATTGAGCAACTTGGTGGAATAGTGAAAGAAGCACAATATTTCGATGGATCAACTACCCATCTTGTAGTTGGCACGCCAACACGTAACGAGAAGTATCTGTCTGCCATGGCAATGGGCAAGTGGCTGCTTTCCAAGTCGTATCTAGAAGCTTGTCGTGAATCTAACCACTTTGTTGAGGTAATAATGATAATAATAATAATGAGGCCAAAAAAATGTATTTTTTTGTCGGCCATGTTTTGGGAAAATCCAAAAAAATGAGTAGCAAAACTTTTTTTTTAACCAAAAATGTGTTACGCTTAAAAAGTATATAATACACAAAATGATGCAACCATGCACCAAAATAGGCTAAGCCTTGGCCTCCTAGCCTAGCCCAAGGCTATTTCATCCTTGTTAACTCATGAAAAATAAAATATATTTTTTCTTGTAGTATAAAAAACTACAACTAAAATGCCAATCTTGAATTTTGTGAAATTTGAGTTGGTCAGGCGTGGCCAACACAATAATTTTTTTTTATTTAGCCTAATAATAATAATTGATCAGATAAAGGAGTTCATACATTATCAATATTTTTAATTTAATTTTTATGTTTTCCAAATTTCACCAAGAATAATATATCTTTTAATTTTTTGTTTAATTGATTCAATCATACTTGGGATTTTTCATAAATGTTGTTAAGGTGAATATAAAAATAACATTAATAATATATTATTTAATCTAATGACTAGTCTTTATTCTGATTATTGAACAGGAAGATATACACGAGTGGGGCTCAGCAGAGAACTTATCTACTCTACCAGACCAGGTAGCTAAGTTGGCCAAAGCTGCTCCAAGGTGGCGAAAAAAACTACAAGAAGAACGGAACAAGGTTGGTGTAGAGAAGTGATTGCAATGCTCAAATACCCATATTTATTCTAATAAATGCCCACTTTGAATATATGCCCACCACCCCCCTTCGAATAAACACCGCTCCAGAGCCTCATTTGGAATAAACACAAATTCTTTATATTTTTCAAATCTATCAAATGTTACATTCTTATTAATAGTTCCATGATTAAACAAAATTTAAATCATATTTACGTTTGATAAAAACAACATTTATTTATTGAATGTACGTTGTTTTCGTACCAATATTCGGTGGGATTTCCAAAGATGGGCGTGGCCCACCCATCGGCTCAGTGCCATGCCCACTGGCTTCCATTTTGGACGGCCTACTTTTTTTTCTGGCTAAACCCCTGGGTCACAGTCAATAATATATTTTCATTTTTACAGAGTGCTTCTGGAATTTGCTCTGGTGCATTCCATAGTTGGAAGATTTTACTTGGTGTCAGCCGAAAGAAAGAGGATGGTTTTAAACGATTACTGCAAGCGGGAGGCGCCAAGATACTTCAAGTGCGCCCTCCTTTCAACCACTGTCACTATGAAGAGGCAACTCACGCATTCATAACGGATGATGCAGCCTCTCAGGTTGGTATATATGTAGTCCGGGGCTGAGTTCTGAGATTAAATTATTGTGTTTCGGTATTTGGTACATTAAATAACCTAGCAAAAAGAGTCTCTTGGCGGCCAACTGCTTTCTAAAAGTACCCCTAAAAAAGTTAAGGTCTCCTTCCATTTAACTACCACTTCTGACCCCAGAGTTTCTATGGTCTTTAGCATTTTGATCTCTAATTAAAATTATAATAAGACATTTGTTAATTTGGGACCACAGAAAAGTGGTTTTTAATTGGACGTGGTCTTTAATTGGAGGGAGTTCTGTATATTCACTGAGCATATAAATTTGCATATCAATAACATGGGTGCCAAGTCTCCACCAGGTAGCAGGAGTCTGCTAGATCAGCGTTCCGCAAACTTTTTACTTCACTGCCTATTTACGATTCCAGGCACCAAGCCGCTGCCCAGCCGCACCAGTGACCAACATAACAAATCCTGGCAAGAAATTTTGATCATGAAGCCTCCATGAATTTACAATATTTTGACATCATTATCTGTTCTCTCAGTGATAAAATTTTATTGTATACAAATTAAATATTATTTTATTAAATAAATAATACAGTACATTTGTGTTTCCCACCCCCACCCCGACAATTGTTGATTTTTTTTTTCTACCATGATTCAACCAAACACGGTTCAGACACACATGTCATAGCTTTCTCCTTCTTCCAAAAACTTTTACGCACACTCTGTTACTCCGCAACTTCGAAAGACTACCTTACTATACAGGTATTATGTTTAGTAATAAAGTACAGTAGAACCTCGATTTTACGTACGGTACAGGACCAGAGGGCGTACGTAAATCGGGGGATTCGTAAAATAGAGGTTTTTGTTAAATTTGTGGTAACCTTTGACCTAGTAATACGTACGTAACGCTCAATAAACGTATGTACGAATGAACGATGATACCTAGGCTAGACCTAGCCTCTAGGCCTACGAATAAAACCATGTGTTTAATGTTTTTATTCATCACTTTACGATGTCATAATAAAGTGTTCGAATAAAACCATGTGTCTAGTGTATTAATTCATCACTTTATATCTTTTATTTAACTAAAATAAAGAACATGAAAATATTGTAAGATTACCTATACGACAAAGGTATAACTTGGGAATTCCCCTTCATGCCTATTCTAAACAACAGAGATGTGGTGTTGTCTGGGCCTGTTGAGACAACCTAAACCCATGTGCGCTGCACTGGGCGAGCCAACCAATTAGCGTTTGTGTACGTGAAACAGCAACCATGTGCTATGCACTGGGCGAGCCAACCAATTAGCGTTTGTGTACGAAACTATGTCTACTCAGCTTCATGTAGAAAGTTCGACCAGACGAGTTCTTCCATGGTTTGCCACACGAAGCTAAGGAGGAAAGCAATAATTTTGAGCACCATCGGTAGTTGTTCATCTCACTCAGTTCACATGGTTTTAGATTCGTTGCTGTTTAATGAAAATACGTTGCATTATGGTTTGTTTATTGTTATAGTTTATTGTTATATTCTTTTTACTTATGGTTGCTCTCAAAAGGGCCGTTTGTTTTGAATATTTTCTGGGTTTTTGATGACGTCATCGTCCATACGAGGCGTACGTAAAACAGAGGGTTCGTATAACTGGGGTACGTAAAAACGAGGTTCTACTGTATCCACATGGGCATTCGGTTATCAAGAAATGTGTGGTGTTGTTTGCTGTAGTGATCTTTCTAGGACAGGTCTTATATTTATTTTTATCTTTAGCTCATGACTCATCCCATCATTCCTCCATACCGGATTTACTCGATCTTACAGGGTTAATACTAGACGATAACATAGTGTCTAGCTCCCGAGGGGGCATAATAGACACAAAAACCGCTTATAACTCAAATAGTTATCTGGCATTTGGCACTTTAGCAGCGTGTAACAATGAAGCGGCTGTAACAATGAAGCGGCTTTATTAATAACTATTTTCTCCATAATGAAACGTCTCTTTGTTTATTTTTTTTTTTTATTTCCATACGGCTTCGCGGCCCTCCAAAAGTGTTTCGCGGCCCAAATTGCTAGATATTAGGACAGCATCTCGCAATCCCAAAAGCATGCAAAACTCTCCCAGACCCATCTCCAGCATATTCATAATATTGTATGGTTTTACTACTGTATTATCTATTGGTATCCCCACATGCAGCAAATTAAAAGTAGATGTGTTAATGAGACATCCCGGAAGCAGCTTCTTCCCACTTGGAACCCTGCAATGGATGCTAACATGAAGAAAGACACTTTATGTGCAAAAACACTAGTAACGATACAATTATTGACAGACATACGCTGCGTTATACAACAGACATATATGACCGTCAGCTGATAAAACCACCTCTGCTCTCTGTGAGCACTTTACGGTGTGACTCTCTGCTGACCGTCAATGGCAGACTGAGTGGAATTTCATTAAGAATAATTTTTGCGTGAGGCTCTTTGCACTGTGTTTTTTGTGGAATTATGTTGGCCGATGAGAATCTGGCGTATCATGTGTCTAGCTTTATGCTCCCATTAAAGAAGATTAAGAAGGGCAAGATAATGACATCATTGTCTTTTATATACTTTCTAGGTGGACATTCATACTATTCTTGATTATCAGATTTTGTGCCTGAAGCCTGAATACATTGCAGAATTTCTGACGAGAGATCCTCAGCCAGACCCAGACAGCTACCGTTTTAAAGGAGCTAAAGGAATAAGGTGAGAACAAATAAATACAAATAATGTGTGTGTGTGTGTCTGCAGGGAGTGAGCCTGCTGTGCCTGGGCGAAGTCGCCTGGGACCCAGTGGCCCAGACTCCAGGGAGTGGAGGTAAAATCAGTGGGAGGAAAATTTATTACAATATTCTAAGCAAGACACAGTTGGAATGAGAGTGCCATTTTCAGTGCAAAAGTGAATGTTGCCCACCTGTGGTGGAATGATAGACTACTTATTTTATTATTGTTAACCATGTGAATACAAGCAAAAATATAAACTTAAATTTAAAAACCACTTCTGGGACTTGGGTTTCCATGGTCTTCAGTGGGTTTGGTCACCAGAATAATAATGATAAAATACATTTGTGGCAAGACAAGCCAAACCAGTCACTTGTCGCAAATCCTGTTTCAGAGATATTGGCCAAAACATTTTGGAATATCAATTTTGTTTAAATCTGTTTTATTGCACTAGACTAACCTTTATATATATATCATGCTATGCTGTTATTTTCCTCATTTTCAATGTTAAAACAACATTATTTTACGATTTGGTGATAGTTTCTGCCTGAGAAATGCCAGAAATCTTAGACTTTGAAGGCTGATTTCTCAAGTATTATTCTTTAAACAGCTGTATGTTTGAACACTTGTAACTTCTTAAGGAAATGTCGGATTTTAATTATTCTTTTACCATTTTATAGCTCTTATTTTACTGTGGAACACTGTATTAATAACTAAAAATTGATTTTTGTGAACAGTGACTGGTTTGGTTTGTCTTTGCCATATTTGTTCATTTGGGACCACAGAATAGTGGTCTTTAATTGGAAGTGGTATTTATTTGGAGAGTGACTTGTATTTTAATTTTGAAGTCCACATGTCCATCCACAGTTTGCTAGTGTGAAGGGGAAAGTTGGTCCATCATAGGTCCTTGTAGTTACTGATTATTTTTTTGAGGTTGAATAGAGGGGTGCAGGTGGTTTTGGTTGGAATGGGAATATAGCACTCATTTACATATTGTATCTAATTTGTCTAATTTTCTCATTATCTGCTTTGGATTCTTTTTCAATTTCTAGAAACTCGGAAGAAAACAACAGCAAACTTGACCTTAGAAAGCGCAAAACATCAACAAATACAGACTCACCAAGCAAGAAAACACGGCTACGATAAATTTTAATAAAATTCATGCTGATATGCCAGACGATAAAAAAAAAATTAAAATTGATAACTGAAAACATTGTATTTCAGGCAAAACAAAAAGGGGCTGATTGACTAGTATTGTGCTACATGGTTGTATTGCAATCAAAATGTAATGTATTACGATTCGTAGTTGCCTCGGATATGTTGCCTTTTGAGTAATTTATTGTAATATAATATCCAAATATACTTTGTTAGTATTCGTTTTGTTGCCATAGTTTTGTACAGAACTCCCTATAATTGTTTAATTTGACAATGGTACTGTATATAATGAATTGCCAAAAAAAACTCATTCAGGTATAGCCAATCCTGACAATGTGGACCGCTTTGCATGGATTCTAATTCTAAATATGTAATATTTAAAACATTTTTGATTGATATGAAACAGTACTAATGTATAATAAAAGTATTTGTGTATTATTCAATACTTTAAGAAAACTGTATTGAGAAGAGAAATTTCCAAGGTAGCTTGGTGTCCTAGCTCCTCTGGAAGAGAAAACGAATGGAGATTGCGAGGTCCCAAGGGGAAGCCAATCTGCCAGCAGATCTGTTTAACAGACCTTTCTTCACACATCTAATTTCATTTTGCTGTGCATGATAAAACCCATTGTAATCGAGAGAAAATTGACAGAACAGTAGTAAAAACATGCAAATGTCGTGAATTTGTAGGAGATAATTGTTTACCGGGAGATTCTCCTTGCTTGCGGGAGTACAGGAGACCTTTTTGCGATTTCCAAGAGACTCCTACGACTGAAATCCGAGGTTCTTGATTTTCAATTTTGATGGAGAAAATATATGGTTGTCTGAAGCTCTGTACAGATTTTCAAATTTTTTTTGACAAAATGATTGTATGCCCATATATAGTCATGGTTTGCCTATATATGGTCATGATGTGATGTTGGGACCATATTTAGGCATATCACATGTGTTTGTGTAGTAAAATTTTATTGTCATGACAGGTCTATGAAAATTGTTTATAAAATATCACTGATGAATGTGTTTATATCGATATGTAATAAATTTACATACTGTAATTGATTATTTAAAAGATTAGAAATTTCTGGATATTTGTGAAATGTTTTTTACATATTATGTGATTTATGTATATTAACGAAAACAATTATACAAAACACATATATGGTGCAGTATATATCATCCATAATTCCGCAAAGCCAAAACTTAAGAAACAATAAAATTTCCTGTTAAATTAAAAACATTACTAGAATTAAACGAAATTAAAATCGAAAACAATAAATTGTTGCATCAAAGGTCTGAACGCCATCCTATAAAACCCTGGTATAAATTTGATCTTGCTAACAATAAATCATTTTTTCGGTTCAGTTATTCGGTTATTAGAAACACGACCACCTACTCTGGCATTGTTAACAAGAGTCTGAGTGTAGCTCGCTGTAACTAGTGGCATAAAGTATTGACATGGGAAGTGGAAGACTGATTACATAAAACACACGGTGAGGGGACGCCGATGATGCGTTTTCTAACTATTGGTAGTGCCATCAGCAGATCCAGGGTGCAGGCTCAGGAGCATGTCATTCTGTTGAAAACACTATGCTTTGAAAAAAAACATGGTTTTTTACAGTATGAGAGTGCCATTTCTGGGTATCTAGAGAAGTGTCTATGCCCCAACCATGGTGGGGCTAAGGTACTAAATTGTGGCCCTTCTGGGGTAGGCCTATATTGAACTCCGGGAATTCAACTACTAAGTGCTCGAGTGGATTTTTTGTGCTGAAAATTTTAGTACCTAAGGTTTTTGTTTTTATCCTCCACCCTTCCCCTTTATATGCTACAGTATTCCCTCATTTTTACAAGTCGATGTTGGAAAACAAAGGCTACGTTATAATAGGCATATGATTTTAATGGTCGTCCAACCAATAGCTGACTTTTCAAAGATGCACTCTGAGAACATCTAAAAATAAAAAAATTGAAAATATCGAAAGATTTATTGTCAAAATAGTACAGTATAACACATCGCAGGGACCCCGCTCCTAAACTAACCTGGTTGTACATATCTTAGATGACATGGTGTGGTCAGTCAGTTTGCATGCGTCAAGGGCCTCTCACAACCTAGTTACGCCATTGATCATTCATTGTTCATATTGCTCTTATGGTTAAAATTGTTTTTATCGATCGTTAAATGACTGACTTAACAGTGGCGTAACGATGAGACCATGGGATCTGTGGCTCTTAGACACGTGAGCCCCGCCCCCCATCCCCACCTTTGATATGGGTCACGGTCGCCAATTTTAGCTGTGCTCGGTTTCTAATGAAGCTCATTGAATGCATTAGTATGCTGAAGACATTTGAAATTTATGTAATTAATCTAATTAATTAATTAATTAAATTGTATGCGTGGTATAGTGCGCATGTTAAGTTAAAAAATATGGGAGGCCCATCCCCCACACCGTTGATATGGGTCCCGGTCGCCAATTCCATAAGATTTTAGCTGTGCTCGGTTTTTAATGAAGCTCATTGAATGCATTAGTATTAGTCGACAAGCCGTCATAAGCTGGTCACATGTGGAAAGTCATGTAATTAATCTAATTAATTAATTTTTTTAAATCGTATTTGTGGTATAGTGTGCCAGTAAGTTAAAAAAAATATGTGAGAAAATATTAAAAAGTTTATAGAAAATATTTCTTCTTTCTTCTTTCAAACTGTAATTAATTTTAAAGTTTATGGTAATTTGCAATTTGATCGTTGTTTTTGTAACATTATTACATTTTATCGAGGCGTCGGCGTCATAGGCGAATTCAAGGGGGACCCAGTCGGCCCGTCCCCCACCCCAAAATAATTCACAATTAAAACAAAAAAATGATAAAAAAAAGAAAACTCTACTCAAATTTTGAGCCTAAGAGTGCAATTTCCTGTCAGCTAGAGGTGGCGCAATCATAAAATGTTATTCCTCAACTCCAACCATGGTGGGGCTGAGGTAATATAGACCCTCCGTCTGTCCCAGCTTTGGGCCCCCTCTATTTCAAATTCCTGGATCCGCCACTGGGCGTCAATACTAGTGATAAGTAAAATTGCCCATAAACACACTTTATTTTCAGAAAATAATTATTCTGACACTTTCATTCAATATTTTCAAAATAGGCCTACATTCTGTACCAGATTTGGTTATTATAACGACATATATTTCCGAAAAATACGAACCACGAACATGTCCTTTGAACTTCATGTTTTCCGGTGACCTGCGCCTTCTCCACGTTGAAACGTTCAACAGATGAGAACGAGGAAAATGTTGATACGTCAGTACTAATATTAGCCCATATTATTTAGAGGGGGTGGGGCCAAAGAATTTCTGGCCTAGAAATCCGTCTGCGTATTTTGGAAAATAAGGGCCGATTTCCACGCAGATTTTTCCATAAATTAGCTTTTGACCAAATCTTAATATAGGCCTATTACCGGTAAAGGTGGTGGGAGAAACCCATATTTGCAGCGTCACTGTGCTGAAGTGCGTATGGGCATGGTCAGAGACTACCTGCAGCCGTAGGCGCTTCATGGTAGCTACATGTTCACATCATTCCACAACGACAGGGGCTGAAATGAACCATAACATCGGGGTAACACCCTACTTTTTCGAAAGATGCAATGGGTTCTTTAAGTGCACACGAGGCAGATGTACTGTACACAAAGGACCTCCATTTTAAGTCCTTATCCGAAAAGACTTGGTTCTACTAACCGTTTAACACTACCATAACACAATGATGTACCTCTTGGCGTATTCTGGCTTATTACAGGGAGGGGGATGTGAAGAGTTATTTTTGTGGGAAGTGCGCCCCGCCCACGTAACCCCTCCACTGGGAGTATTCAGATATAGAAAGAGTAAAAATAAATAAGAGTCAAATTAAAAAGTAAAAATAAATAAGAATAAAAGTTAAAGTATAATAGAAAGAGTGATCAAGTCATCACTCAACACCATCTACTTTAATGGAGGATTGTAATAAATAGAGCGTTATTGTCCCCTAATAATTTAACTTGCTCAATTTTGCAGTAATCTCAAATTAATAAATTGAGCATTGGCCTAATTATTAAATTTTAAAAATATGTACCATGATTTTTATACTGGATAATGATATTAATGATATTAAAACTCATAAAACACTTCGTGACTTCATTTTTCGAAGTAAACTTAATAGGTATAAAAAAAACTAATAATAAGCACTAATTTCTATGTTCAAGGTGACATTTTTTGTTACTTTAAAACGAGCAATTTAATTTCATTTTTAAGTATTTTGCATGGAACATTAAGCACTCAACCGTCAACAAGCGTTGTTGACGGTAATTAGTATGCGTGTACATTAATACTAATAGCGTTGTTGGCTTTATTTAGTATTTGCGTACAGTACCGTCAACAAATATTGTTGACGGTAATTAGATATATAGGCCTAGATATAATACATATATATTTTTATATTATGTTTGAAATTATTATAATTTAAATTCTAAAGTTCATTTGCTCTAGGCCTCGGCTACTAACATCATTTTTTGTTTTTGGTATAAACGATTAACCGTGTAATTTGGGTCAGTTGGGTATATCATTATCAATATAACTATTAATCTATTTGCCTATGCTGGCCATGTCTATTATAATATAGGTGTAATTTCGGAATCGATAT